CTAGTAATTCAATTGGTGTGACGCCCCTAAAATCGGGGTTTCTTTATCAACCGTTGATTACCATTAACCTGCGGAAGTACCCGTGATCGTCGCACAACCCGACATCACGTCAATAGTATCCCTTTTACCGAGATCATTCCTAAATGCATATCATGTATACATTTACTCATTACCTATCCGAGGTCCAACATACTACCATTTATATTTCACTATTGTCCATTTACATCATTTGAAGAAAAGGACACATGACCTGAAAGCATAGTATAGCATTCTTAAAATTTCAGATTTTTGGAGTAGGTTTTAACGTTCTACCAGTAAGTTTTGCCTACTAGAAAAGTTCTACCGCAAAAAAGTGACGTTCTATCGGTAGGTTTTGCCTACTGGACCACATCTATCAGTAGGTTTGCTCAAACCTACCGATAGGTTTTGCCTAGGATTGCCTATTTCACCTGTTTTTTATTTTCAATTACTTCCAATCCATCCCACAACCATTCAATACATGTTTAATGAAGTTTTTCACATGAAACATGATACGACAAGTTCTATTATAAGCAATTTCATATGTTTACATGCCAAAAATAGAATTTTCACAGAAGTTATACAAAATGAGTCATGAAAGTCACAAGTCGGTATTCTTCACCCTTGAGGTTCGAATTGGGAGTCGTCCGTCAGTGTGAATCCTGCACCTGAAATGTTTTCCCATGAAGCATATGAAATGTTCACATGCAACAATCAATCATTCAAAACATTCTCATCAAGAATATACATTCAATGACAAGAATTTCATGTCATGTCATGAAATGAGATGAGACTCACTCATGAACTTTAACCCGAGCTCTCTCTGACTCATTCAACACAATGCAATGTCAATGTGTATAAATCCGTCATCGATGATATACGTCCAATGATCTTTTTAAAACAAAAATCATGTGTCTTTGTTAGACGTTACACATCGAATGACTATTTTATAAAACAAAATCATGTGTCTTTGTTGGGTAGCGGACTTTTAGTGTCACACCGCCAACTCCGCATACCAATACACTTTTTTGGACTTTCACCATCGGAAGTGTATAAACTTGTAATCGGGTTTTGCACCCGAGGGAGAGTATAACCCTTCTTGCTATACCCGACACAAGTTTTTCAGGCAACTGTGCAACTCAGTCAGACCTAGGTCCAACCTTCCTGAGCCCACATATCATCCACCAAGAATGGTGTTTGATCCCATAACATGCATACACACCCACACCCACACCCATGTCAATGCCCACGAATGCGATGTCTCTGTGCAAATGTAATGTAATGAACCATTGCAATACCAGTAACATGTTCAATATGTAATGAATGTCAGATGAATACTTTTCACATAAATCAACATACCCCATGACAATTTATATCGCAAGCATATAATTTTCATATATTCTCATCATATCAATATATCATGAGCATGTATCAATATTTCATTCAACACGATTTTCAAGCATGTCATCACATAATTATGCAATTAACACATTAAATTCATCAAGGCATAATGTAAACACATTACATGCCCATAAATCACATTTTGCTAAGAAATTACATACTTAGCAATTTCTAATCACTGATTCACACCAAAATTAAATTTACCCATTTTCAATATTCAATTCCATCAATTTTACAACAATAGGCAAGTGATATATAATTCTATTAACCTACTCATCTCATATAAACACCTTAGCTTAGAAATAAACCTAATTAGGGAGAAAACTTTACCTCTTGAAGCATAAAACGACATTGAAAAATTTCAAGAACCCGATTCAATCTAGAATCTTTATTTCCCCAAATCCCATTTCTTTGGTTTCGGTAATACCCGCGCTTTTTGGTATAGCCGCGTAGCCCTCGCCGAGAGGAACGACTTTAATATTTGGTTCGAGTTAATTTGAACGACGATGAGGCATACATCGTGGAGAGAAATTGGATTTTCTCTTTTTTCCCTCTCTTCTCTTTAACATTAAAACCCAGTTGATGAATATGAGAGAAATCTGATTTGTCTCCCCTATTTATACTCCTAAAGTACTTGGCCCACAATGCACCACACAACCTCCTTTCATGGGTTTGTTTTCGTCCCGAAACAATTAAATTTCGGTCCAGTTCATGTTTAAAATATTTTTCTATGAACATTCTTCAAATTATTTTTCAACTTTCAAAATTTTATTCAAAAATCCGTTTTTGGGTGACCCGAGACTCGTTTGTCTCGTAAACTCTAAAAAAATTCAAGTTTGTAACCTACACTATAGTGACAAATTACCGTTTTACCCATTTTCGTAAAAAGTTCAAATTTACTCAGGTTTTACAATGTTATAGAAGGATTGAATAGCATGGCAACTATAGACTGAATGAATTCATTACCTACTTCGTGCTATCCAGAGGTTGATCATGATATGTTGCTAAGTGTTACTCATGATTAGTAGAAGCTCGAAGAATGAAATCAATATAAATATATTAATTATCCTTCATAAAGGGAGAATTATAAAAGTTCTAATTCAAACTAAATTAGAGAGAGTTCTAATTTGAGATGCTACTTGTAGTTAGTATCAAATGCCTACAATCGGGCATGCTTGAACCTATAGGGTCACACACAATAGAATTGATTGGAAACTAAAGGATAAAGGAGAGAAAACCAATTAAGAGTTAATTGGCAGAAAAACCTAATTAAAAGTTAATTAGAGACTTTATTACAATTAATGGTTAATAAAGAGGTTATATGTAATTATAAGATAATTGCAATTTAACCCAAAATAGGATTAGAGTCTTTAAAACTCTATAAATACCTTTATGAAAAGGTAGGTATAAGATATAACAACTCTCTTGCTAAGATAAGAAGAACCACCCCTCATTGTCTCTCTCTACTAGTTTATCAAAGGTTGAGGTAGATCATTCTAGTTTATCAATTCATGTGGATAGCGATAGAGGCCAAAACAATTGCGAGACTTTGGGTAAATATCAAATTCAGATTTAAAGATTTAAAATTTTTGAGAATACTTGAAAATTGTTAAAAGCACGCTTCAAGATGTAACCCTTAATCTTCTCTATAGATCTAAGGTTTTTCGATTTATATTAAAGATGAATAGATTTTGGAATGGGGAATCAAATTTTTTTAAATTCCACTGCGTTCTTTACATAATTCCTCTCATTAGTCTCCTCTGTCCTATCTCTCTTTTCTGTCATTTTTTTTCATTTACTTTAATTTTGTTTCTTTCTCTTTTTCTTCGTTTTTTCGAGGAATGAAACTATATCAGGTGACGGTAATATATGAGCATAAGCCAAAGACCTCTCATATGCTTGAGACAGCACGTGAATCTCCATTAAAAAAAATGAACTTTTCTATATCTGTCAATCTATTTCTCTAGTTTGCAACTTCTTTTTGTATGCAGGATCAATTCTCCCGTCACATGCGGCCCTTCTTGAGTGGTTCATGCACGTGATTTTTTTTTCTTGTAGTAAGGGAGAAAATCTAGTAAGATTTGAACTTAAAAACTCTAAACTTTGATACTATGTTAAATCACCATTAAATTTTTAGAAAGAAATGTAATATTAGTATTTATTATCTAACTCTCACTCACGTGTGGCTTCTCAGGACCTCTAAGTTTGATACCATGTTGAACTTCATACTAGAAAACATTAGGGATAGAAAATTGAAGAGAAAATAGAACACAAAGAATATACGTAATTCAACACATTGTGTCTATGTCTACGGTCTAAATATCCTATGAGCTACATCGATTTATTATTATTTGGTGACAGTTTACATCAAACTCATCCCTATTTGTAGGGTGAAAAAATACATCAAATAAACATGTATAGTGTAAAATTAATTCTTATACAGAGGAAAGCTCTGTCAAATGGACCTCCAAGTCGAATGACAGATTTGCTTGGAACATCATTAGGTTCCAAAACTCTAAAGTACCTTGGTACAAACTGGTTTGGTATGAACACCTCATACCTAGAATGAGTCTCATTCTTTGGTTGGCTATCAGAAATAGATTAGTTACAAAGGATAGGATTTCATTGTATGCACCACAGGTGGACATCACTTGCTCTTTGTGTCATCAACTCCTAGAATCTCATCATCATTTGTTCTTTGAGTGCTCCTATGCTTTTGGTATTTGGACTCAGTTGATGCAGCAATGTAACCTCAAGCTTTCCAATGCAATGACTTCATTGCCTGGGCAATTGTTCATCGGAAAGGAAAATCTTTGAAGGTTGTTCTCCTCAAGCTCTACCTCTCTGTCACTGTTTACAACTTATGGAGGGATAGAAACAATAGGATCTTTAACAATTTGGTTACATCCCAACAAAGTTTGTTTTTCAGGATTCAAACAACTATTAGAGAAAGATTTTCTCTGCTTAAGTTCAAGGCCAACCCTTAGAATCTGCTCTTAGTGCATCATTGACACCTCTCCACTGTTTGTCTTGTTTGAGAGTTTTTGTGTTTTGCCACTGCCCAAGGATGGGATTAGGGAGGAAGTAAAGTCATTTGCTCTACTTCTATCTTAATGCCTTCTTTTGTTGGCTTTGCTTTCGTTGTGGTGTACTGATCATTGCTTGACTGTGCAAGCTTTCTTTTGTACCTTTGTACCTTTTTTGTCTTAATACAAGTTTACATTTCGAAAAAAAAAATTCTTATCTAATCTGATCCTATGCAAATAATGTGTGATCTTTACAGATCACATCATATATCTAATAATCCAACACCAACTCCCAGTTGTTCTTTGAATTGGGTCTCCCTAATGCACTGTTTAGGATTCAATGAGATTATCAACATTCTTATCTGATTCCGGTTGGTTTGTTTTTTATACACAGTGACGAAAAAGTTTGAAGAAATCTTGTGGAAAATTGCAGAAACATTAGGTATGTAATGACCAATGGGTTAATTAGTTGCCACTTCACGTGGAAGTAGAAGTAAAATTTTGTTGTTTTATTTCATTGCAGTGATCGAGATTAAGCACATCCAATACCAAAAAATGATGCATCATCATGCTATTCTGCTTGTGAAATACCTTTGCGAGGAAACTATAAAGTTGGACCATGTGCTAGCTTCTTCAATACTTAAAAAGCCACTACATATTGCAGCGGCTAATGGGGCTCATGAAGTCGTGGAAGAGATTTTGTATTCATTTCCTAGTGCGGCTTACTTTCTAAACAAGCAAAAGCAATTATTTCTACATATTGCAATTGCGAATCGTCGTGAGAGAGTTTTCAATCTCATATATCAATTTGAGGACCTTGGCCACCAGTTTCTACGAGTGATAGATATGTCGAGAAACAATGGTCTACATTTGGCTGGATATTTGGAAAGAAGTTCAGAATTCAATATCAAAACTAGTGCAGTTGGTGCAGCTCTACAGATGCAACGTGAAATACAATGGTTTAAGGTACGTAATGAAACACCTTTTACAATTCTAACTCTAATTTCATTAGCTTAAAAATATTTACCACTCTCTTATAATTAGTTTGGCCATCTATTTCTTTTCTGTAATGGAAATGGATATATTTTGTAACTATTTTAAAAACTTGACGGAAAGTTCAAAAAATTGATGATTTTTTTTTTGAAATATTAATTAAAACATCTTTAAAACTTCGAAACACAAGAATTTTGCTATTAATTACTGATCAGTTTTGTTTTTTTTTTATGAAAATAACACGGTTGTATAGATGCAAAAGAAACCAAAATAAGGTCCTTGCCATCTACCCTTTTA